TAATTCTATCAACGGTCTCAAACACGGCAAGTATACCGGCCGTTCAAGTAGTAAAAATATCGTATCCACAGGGATTAGAAGGTAAAATAAGCATTTATTGACTATTCGTGACTAAAAAATAATTCCAATTTCATAATTTGTCATGTGAATTCAAAGTTAAGACTATTGGAATGAAAGCTGTAAATAAATATTGGTTTGTGAGTGGAAAGGGTAGAAATGATTTTATGGTTTTGTGAGATTGTGGGGTCAGATTTCACCAAACGTCAAACTAATGAATCCTTAATCTCTTGTTAAATTCATTGCTTAGTCAACCCAATAGTTTACTCAAACCTAATCCCTTAGAGCAAGAGCCTAGATGTGGATATTGAATATCAATCCCTTGAGTACCCAATATCTACATCCGCATTACGGGCTAGGGTTTAAGACTACTAATGGGCTAAGCTCCATTCCTAGATACATTTCCCACTAGGCATTTGTTTCAGAGCTAGTTTCAAGGGTTATTTTCCAATACCCAATGGAACCTATATCATGCAATGAGATTAAATCCAAAGCAAGCATTAAGAATAGAAACATAAACAACAATGAATGAAACAACATGTATATATATCATAAAAACCGTAAGGATTACAATAGAATTCGTTGGTTACATCTAACCCCACAAAAATGGGTGAAACCACTCAACAAAGAGGGTAAATACAAAATAGAGATGAAGGGAGAAATGAAGAACCGAAGGAAAGACCCACACACGAACGGCTCCAAGCTCCGGGAATCCCTTCCACAGCTCCCAAAACGCGCCCAATGTGTGAATGGGGGAAAAGAACCCCGAAAATGGCTTCAAATACGAGCCTGGGAGATCAGATTAGGGTTCCGCGCCCGGCGCACAATTCTTCGCGCCCGGCGCAAGTTCTTCCAGAGAAGTCAAGCACTCTCTGTCTCAACACAAGCCCGGCGCAATTCCTTTTGCGCCCGGCTTAATTCCTTTTGCGCCCGGCTTAATTCCTTTTGCGCCCGGCTTAATTCCTGGCAGAGATGAAATACTCTGTTTTTGTCACGCCCAGCGCAGGTTATATTGAGCCCGGCGCAGAGCCTCTTCTCTGCTCCTTATCTTCTTAGATTTCCAATCCTAAGAGTCTTCAACTTTCCACTCTTCCTCAATACCTGCACAAAAAATGAGGTGGATTAAGGTATTGTTAGATGAATTTGGGTTAGTTATATCTGCACACAAAATGAACCAAAAAGAGAACAATTATATTGCAATGGTTCAAAGGATGAGTGGAATTTGTTCAATAAGTCTCATCCAAAAAGAGGTAAAATTGAGACTTAACAATCATACACTAACAAGCACGACATGAGTAAAATTGATTGTACACTGACTGCCACGTAAAGACATTAAAGACTCGTTACTTGAATCAATTGTACATCAACAAGGGTGACATGAGTATAATCGATCTATACTGTTTATCACACAAAGATATGTGACTTGAATTGATCGTACACCAACAAGCATGACATTAATAAAATCAGTTGTACATCAAATTCCTAGTGAATACATTGAAGATATGTGACTTGAATCGGTCGTATATTAACAAATGCAGTGTGAGTAAAATCGATTATACACCGACTATCACAAGAAGACATTGAAGACACATAACTTGACTCGGTCATATATTGGCAAGCGTGGCATGAGTAAAATCAATTGTACACCGATTACCATGCAAAGACATTAAAGATACATAATTTGAATCGATCGTACATCAACAAACACGGTGAGACATGACTTCGTCATACACCAACAAGCACGAAAGATTAAAGACCATGACTCTTAACAAATAAATACATGGAGACATTGAATACATGGCATAATTAGCTAACACTAAATGAAAGTTCTTACACAACACAAATTAAATATACCTTAAAAAAATCACCTATAAACTCACATCCGACTCAACAATATATAAACATAGCACTATAGCGAAACATTGAAATGGATAATTAAAGGGTAAACAGCTTTGTTATAAGGCCCCATAAGGCATAAGGTCTATGCCTTTACTACTTAGTTTCTACACCTTTCATGTTTAAGATTGGTGTGGGCAAGTATTCCCTTCCGACCTTTTTCCAAGATGATCTTTATAGAAAGGCTCTATATGTAACGACCCACCCTAGGCCGTCACATCAATAACCAACCAAAATAAAATAATATAAAATAAAGAAAATAGAGCAAAAGCCAGCTACGCTAGAGTGTAATTATACAATAACATATAAATTGTTTCCAAAATATATAATATAATCTTCTATAGCAGAGTCATCATCCTTAGTAAAGTTATACAGTAATCCAAAAAGATAATATAATTACAATGTCATGAAAACATCAAAATAAGACACCCTAGGTGCTGGTCAAGCTCTAAACCTAGCCACTTCTCAAAGCAGCTATCCAAAAGACTCCTTGTTATCCCAAAGCCTCATACCTGATCTGCTCCCCCACATAGTGAGATCATCACAGTCCACATCATGGAAATATAAGGGTTAGCACATATAAAACTAATCATAGTACATCATAATAAAATATCATTAAACAAATATTTATCCACAGTATTTATCCAGACCAACAAGTCATTTTCAAGCTAAATATAGACCAACCCAAAATATAATGTATACACGTCCATGCCAATGTATACATATTTTATGATAATAAAATAATCCATAACCAATGTATACAATCCATACCATATGTATACATATTCCATATCCAAAACAAAGTCACACCACTGTATAATCCATGATGTAACCAACACATCCAAACCAAATGTTGGCCTCAACACCATCCAAACCAAGTGTTGATACGGTGAAACATGTCAGCAACCCATGTCCCACGCCTAACCTCTCATGGAAAATATACAGTTGGATTACGTCGTCACGTAACCCTGGTGGGGCCACCTCATCCATCGGTATGACTCGGCCTAGACCCATACCGGTAGCAAATAGAATACTTAGAGGAGTACTTCAGAATCCACCTAACATCTGAAGTGGTTTATCATATAATCTTTGGAAAAGTTCCACATTGGAATCCTCACCATGGGATTCCCAAATTCCATATTTTTCCAAAGATTATATCCTGATCTCACCAAGAGATCTAATCCATACCATAACCTTACTCCTTTAAGTCCTATTTACTTTTCCAAACCACATACACATAGCATATTCCATAATTAAACATAACCATAACCATGCCAATTTGTCAATATAATAATAATATAAATAATTAAATATCCAAAACAACCATCAATTAATCCAAATTATATTATGTTAAATGAAAATCTCCACATAAAATAGCATATTAAAATTATACTATTCCTATCATGCTCATATATACTAGATTAATTTTATAAGCACTACCCTTACTTGGATAAACCTGAACTGAAACTCGGGCAGAATCTCCTCCTCTCTCCTTAAACAAGAACCGAAACTCGGGCAGAACCTCCACCTCTCTCCTTAAGCAAGGACCGAAACTCGGGCAGAATCTCCTCTTCTCCCTCCTCTTTTCTCTCCCCTGGCAGAACCTCCTCTACTGGATTCCTCTTTCTCTCTCCTCTTTTCTTTTCTTTCTCTCTCTCTCTCCCTTCTCTTTCTCTCTCTCTCTCTTCTCTTTCTCTCTCTCTAAGATTTTCACTTCCCTCAGTATATTTTTTTTCACCCCCCTGGCCCCTATTTATAGGCAACCAGAGTCACCCGGAACGGCCCGTATTGAATTCGGAACGGCCCGTTCCGAATCTTTCAAATGTACGCAAATTTTTAAACTGGAACGGCCCGTTCCAAAATCGGAACGGCCGTTCCCAAAAAGCAGAACGGCCCGTTCTAAAATCAGAACGGCCCGTTCCGAGACTCATCCAGAACGGCCCGTTCTCCTTCCGGAACGGCCCGTTCTCCCTCCAGAATGGCCCGTTCCAAAGTCAGAACGGCCCGTTCTCCCAGTTGGAACGGCCCGTTTTGGACCCGTTCTCACTAAAAATTGTTAGTATAATTTTTAAGCTTGGAACGACCCATTTTGCTTTTGGAACGGCCCGTTCCAAGTTTTCAAAACACCCCTTAAATTTTTTTTTTAAAATTGCAAAAATGCCATCAGTAATAAAATTACAAGAATAGCCCTATACCTTTATAAAATTTACGAAAATGCCATTGATAATTAATAAAAAAAAAATGGGTATTACACTATACAAGAAAATGTTTTGACTTAGCCTTTATGTTTTTTTATACTCAAAGTTGGTAGGCAAGTGTACTCTATCGATTTTTTGTCAAGAGAGTCTGATTCAGTGCCTAATTTAGTATCTCAACACTCATACCCTTACTTGTAAAACAATATTTATCCGATTAATAACCTATATCTAACATAAAATTTAATCATTAATAATTTTGATTGATCATCAAATTAAATACAATACCTAATAATAAATAAATTAAATTTTCACAAAATTTTAAAATTCTCAAAGCTTATAAAGGCATAACAATCAATCATAAAATTCTTATTCTAAAATACAGACAAAGAAAATATATCTTTTAAATGTTTCAGAGTTAAACTACATCCGGATTCTTTTTAATGTGTTTTTCATATTAAAAAAAACAAAGAAAAATATTTCTTGGACAATGTGCTAAAATACAAGGGAAGAAATGGAGAAAAGTAATAGATTAACGAGTAAATATATGATGAGAAGAGTATCAGAAAGAAATATAAGGTGCGATTGACCAGAAAAAATATTAAACAATAGAATAGACAAAAAATAGTCAGGGAGAAATATCTTACACAAGAAACATAGGATACCTCCGAAAACAGAAATCTTAAAAGCTCAAAACAACTACATATCTTTAGTCGGCCGATGTCATCTTATTAAATTTTTTGTATCTATGAAAACTAAATTAATTACTCTAGTTGGTCCATGCCATTTTGCTAGCTATTCAAAGTTTCTCGAAGTTATTTTCCAAGAAGATAAAAGACCCCAAAAACAACATTGTTGCCATTAATCTCATTTGTTTTCATAGTCTGCAAAAAGAATTATTTTATAAGTAGGCGCCATGCATTAAAATGGTGACAGTAAGCCAGTAACATAGGTCAGGTTGACAAGGATACGTCATGTTATATAATAGTAACAATTAATTAAAAAAAAAAAAAACATCAATCTCATTACAATAACTGAAGGACATAAAACCATTTCGGTGATCTGAATTCAAAGTTGCATTTTGGGAGGTTTCAGCCAATACCATTTACCGGGTATCTTAAGAAGGTTGTCCAGAAGAAGTAAAAAAATCAAAGAAGGGTTGGTTTAGTTGCGAAGCATGGTCTTGATTGATATCAGGAGAAGCAAAAGGTGTATCAGTTGAAGTATCAGCAGAAACTGCAGCAAGAGAATACACCTGGTCTGTTGTTTTTCCTTCCAAAATGCCAGTTGGGTGCAGAGGAAAGAGATCCAACGTTTCTTGGTTACTGTAGCTCAAGTTACAATCCGAGATTCTCTCTTCGTATACCACCGGGCCATTGAACATGTTTGACATGCCTGTGGGCACAACCTTCTCACATGTGCTCCTCCTAAAACCTACAGGTACAAGCACCTTTGAATGTGGGGGATAAAACCCAATTTCACTCTGTGCCTGAGGTATGAAATATGGGGCACACATTGCTGAAACCATAAACAAATAACTTCGGTTTAAACATAATAAATAACTAAAGAGAAAAAGATGCAACAGTTTGAATTTTGAAAACAAAAGTTTTACGTGTCTATGTGTACTAATGAAAAAATACTTTTGCAAACAAACAAAAGAGTAAAACAGAAAGCTAAAGAAACAGCTGTCTGTCTATCATGATTTGGCATCGCAAAAGTGGAGACAGTGACTTTTAAGATGATTTGAGTCGTTTCATTAATAAAATATACATATTGGTTTTCCTGAGATATTTTTTTTATAATTTTTATTACTTTTCGATTAACACACATACACATACCAAGCTTATGTGCATGAAGAGACGAATCGGCCGGTGATTCAATAATCAAACAGCATTTCATCATTTTAAACCAAAAACAAAATAGTTTTTCTACTTTTCTGTAGTTTTCACTAAAAAATAATCTTGTTTGAGATAGTAAGATCACACTGGTTTATAACAATGCACAAATTAATACCGTGGACTCGAACACAAGAGTACTGATTAATAAGATGCATAAAAGCAAGATAAAATGGATGAACATATAAATATATACATATAGGAATGTATATAATTTGTATGATATATACAGTAATTAATTGAATCAAATAGACAGAAAGTAATGCTATATAGAATAGGTATATTTATTTGGGAAACACTGCAAATAATGAAAGTGTTGGAAAAAGGAATGAACGAACCATTTGGGCAAATTGGCGGAGAAAAAAAAGGCTGGGGCGTATGAAGAAAGCGATTGAAGTAAGCTATGGTTTCTTGCTTCTGCTTCTGTCTCTGCCTGGCCTTGTGATTCTGAAACCAGTAGAAGACATTCTTTCCTTCGATGTGACCATACACCCTGAGTCTAGCAGTAATCTGCTGTATCTCCTCAGCACTCGGAGTCTTTATTCCCTGCTTATACAGATTCTCTAGCATGCTTATTTGCTCTTTTGTAGGGTTCCACCGCGAACTAGGAGGAACACCGTTGGAGCCTCCCATTTCCACCACCTCCACCTCATCGTTATTCTTACTCTCCATCACTTGTTGATTTTAAGGGTTTGGTGATTATTAATTAGGAGTGGTGTTAGTTATATTGTGATGGCTTGTGGAGCACTCTTTTTATAGAGAGGGTAGGGAGTACTAGGGAGAAACAAAATGGTTGAGAGTTGAGAGAGAGGAGGATGATTAACATGCGTATTGTTTTTGGTGCAGAACATCTCTGAAAACATGGCGGTTAGCGGCACAGAGAGAGGCTTAGGTTTCGTCGTCTTCGTTCCAAGACGTGTAGAATTTTTACGAGAAGACAATAATTGCCGAAATGGCCCCCCCTTGCTGCCATTGATTTTGGTGCATACATAGTAGTTTAACCACGCTGTTTAAGATTAACGTTGATTTCTCTCTCTCTCTTTCCTAAGCCCATAATGTCTTGTATCTCGGGAATGACAGAGAGAGAGAGGAACGTAGGTTACGCCATTGAAGGAAAGGAAGGGCATAAGCGTCATTGAGGGAAAAAGACAGCCGGTTGGGTTGTAAGGTGTAGGTGAAGGCTAGGCTTTGGGAATTGAAGTGAGAGCAGATAGGCTCAGAGGAGAGAGATTATTGAATGGTTGAAACGTCTACCTATCTAGCCTGCCTCATGAAGGTGACTGTGAAACTGTCAACTTTCCAATCTTTTAGTGGATACAATTACTTCATCTTAATTATTCTAAAAACATGTAGTACATTGTGCTGGAACTGCCTTCTTTGCCACTGTGTCTTCTCATGCCTCTATTTGTCTGCTAGATAGTGTGGCCCAATTGGACCACCCTTTGTAACATGCTCAACCTGTTCTTACTTGTCTTGCATGTGGTCCAATTTCATCTACTACATAATACATTTTTCTTTTTTCTCTCGTGTCATACAATTGGCATTATTTTTTATTATGAACCTCCAAGAGCCAAAAAAATGTCATGCATGCATGACTAGTGTATATATAGCCATTAAATATTAGTTTACATTGGATAACAGTTCTCGCGTGACGAGTTTTTGTCATGTTGCATCAACCAGCTAGGTTAATAGTAGTTGATTAGCTGTTAATGCGTTTCATTTCACTGTAACAACATTCAACGTGATTACAGTGGGCACCGCATTGCTTTCCCAAAAATAAAAAGAAAAATGTAGTACTGTAGTATATATATTATCAAATATATTTTGAATTAGTTTATGTATGTGGGCAACATACAACTAGAGCAGTAAAACTAAAAAGTACTCTTACAGCTTAGGTGAATCTTCTAACATGTCAAAATGTATAGCCTTTCTCAACAAAGAAAGAGAAACAGAAACTACTCGTGTATTTAAATTAAAATTATACACATGAAGAAACGTATATACTAAATGAGACACTAGAAGAAACGTATATACTAAATGAGACACTACGTACTAATACACTCTTGTTTTTAGCACATTTTCTCTCTTTGCTTAAAATTTATGTGATTATTATTAAATAGAGAATGCAAGTATATAACTCAGCGGAACAACCTACGGAATTTCAATAAACAAAAATGTACTTATGTCAGAAACTGTATTACGTTAGTATTTGTTTATGTTTCATTTTTCTTTTGCGAATTATGAACCTATCCACATCTAAGAATCGATATATTATATCCGAATGTCAAAATCAACAGAAAAGAGAGAACGAGTCTAATCAAAGTTCTGGGATCAGTATCTTTTTTCATTGAAGTTGGTGACAAAAAGTTAGATTTGGAATATTTTAGTAACTTATGCTACACTATTACTCCTATTTTTCATTTTTAATAAAGACATGGTATTACAGTTTCCTTATACTCTAATTAATAAACAATGTAGGGGTATATACAGTGTTTTAAAACCCGGACCGACCCGGCCGGTCGCATGGGTGGTGGAAGCTCGAATCCCAGGTGTTTACTCTGGCGGCGCGTGGCAAGGTGCTCACGCCACCTTCTACGGAGGCTCCGACGCTTCCGGCACCATGGGTCGGTAACTAA